ACAGATCTGATTACCTTAGCTATAACAGATCTGATTACCTTAGCTATAATCCACAAGGATTACTGGATTACAATAGCCACACCGCCACCCCTTCCCTGGGCTCTCGGCTGATGAAGCACCTGAAATCCGTCTGGGCACATCTCTACGAGGGGGACTCCTCCCTCCGTGCCCAGCCATGTCTCAGTAATACATGCCAGGTCTGATCAACTTTACCCTCCTAAACCAAGATTGAAAGTGGGACATTTTTATTTATTGGTAATCCAGTAATCCTTGTGGATTATAGCTAAGGTAATCAGATCTGTTATAGCTAAGGTAATCAGATCTGCTTAATTACCAGGAGAATTTCCTCCGTGGTTATAGCTCTGATATAATCCTCTGATTATAGCTAAGGTAATCAGATCTGTTTAATTGTTTTTGTAACTCCAAATCCTCTGTGGAATAGTCAGAACTTAAATGAGTCCAGGGGATTCAGTAACTCAAAACAAGGTGTTGCCAAATTGGAGGGGGGGGGGGGAACCACCAAGAAGACCTGCCACCTGCAAAATATATTGGTCACCTTAAAGCTGCCCTAATGTAGACTGCAGCATCTGACTGGCCAGATCAGCAATTCCTCTGCTGATCACCGAGAAGGAGGAGAGTTTATTGGTTGCAAACTGACCTATCCTGTTTGATGTTGCAGGGCAAGATCAAACAGGATAGGACAAAGTGACAGATGATGAGATGTGAATGGTGGCACTAGCAGGAAGAGGAAGATGTGAGGGTAGGGCAGGTGAGGGAGGCGGGAGGTGGAGAAAAAGACAAATATGGAGATGGGATGGAAGCAACCAATCAGCTGGAAAGGATTCTCAAGATGTTTCCCTCTTGGTTCTAACCTTTCACTTTTTTTAATGTGGCTCCTCTGGACATAGAGAAGAAATGTAATTCAAAAAGATTGCCAGTTTTGAAGAACAAAATTAGCAACTTGAATCAGGCCAGAACTTCTGCAGCATACTGCAGTCTGTGATTTTAAAAAATTACCTGTTCGGAGATAACTCTGCCTAGATCATTCAACAGGTAGGAGCTCAGACAGTTTATTAGCAGATTAAAAGTACTACTGGATGTAGATACTCTCTGAAGAATCCAAAAAGTACACTGGCTCCAAATTCCTGAAGATCTCATATCCATAGATGACCACATGGAAAACAGCCAAATGTGCTTCCCAGGATACATATAACTTTTCACTATAAATATGTCTGTATCTTAATTATGCATAAATATAATCAAAGCAACATTTTTCCCCACTTTCTGCTTAATGGACAAAACCCAATGAAAAATATCATCTTTCCAGCGTGAGGAAACTCCACGGACTTATTACAAAGGCAGCTGTGCGAGGCGCATGTTTCTACCACCAAGTGCCACTTGATGGAGATACGCAGTCCTATTTTGATATGCAGTGCTATTGTGTTGATGTAACAGCGCCGTCTTCTGGCATCCAGTCTCTCAGAGGACTACCCTAAACTCAAGGTGCCCGCCGCCTGGCCAAGCGTCTTTGGATTGCCCATGACAGCTACTGAGGTTCCAAAGCCTTCAGACAACATTGCAGCGCTGCCCTAAATATAAGCCGCTAGGGAGCCTTCCTGTTAGACTGTTAGCTCTGGCCTTCTGCTGAACTACCAGTCCAAGCACTCCCAAACAAGCGGTCCAGCCCCTCTCCCTTTCTTCAGCCAGGTTGGGATGGCAACGGCAACTTCCATGTTAAGTTTCACCTAGGGTCTCCAGACTGCTCTTGCTCAGTGGTTTGGAACCAAACTTTTTTTTCCCTGTTGTAGTTCCTGTATGAAGAATATGCTACAGCAATGAATAATTAGTACTTAACACTAATTAAGGAAATGGTCTTGAAATGCTCTGCTAAATTTGTTTTTAGGGAAAGTATTTATAAATCATATTTGTAAGGCTGTCCAACTTTAGGCAATTCTGAGGAGAGAATAATTAAAACAATCTGTGAAAACCATTGAGGGAGTCAAAATACTTAAACTAGAGAGAATAACCCATGCATGACATATGTCACACCCTCTCCTCCCCAAAGACGCCATCCATAGTCCAAGTCTGGAGGGAAATTCTAGGTATTTAAGGCTTGCTTGGAGAAGAGCGAAGCACGCTGTTCAGATCTCTAGAGGATCTATTCCACTCAATCCATTCCAGTTCCAGTAAAGGCACTTTTCTGAGTGCTGATCAGACGTTTCTTAATGAATGCCGTGTAATCACTAGCATCTTCCATTGTGCCTGGAAGCTTACTGGCAACCACTGTAGTTTACAAAGGGATGTTACATGACCATATCAAGGTCTCCCTGTTAATTGCTTTCACAGCTACATTCTGCACCGCCTTCAAGGTTATCCCCAAGTATAGCAAGCAAGGCATGGGTGATCATGAGGAAGGCTGCTTCATATAAAAACGAGCACATCTGATACTCTAGATGGATCCGTAAAAGGTCTTTGAACAAGAACTGAAACTCCAGAAGAATCCTAAATTGTACATCAATCCTGAAAGGAGAAGTGTGACTCCCAACCAGAACTAAGGTTGAAAATTCTCCAAATCTGGCATAACCCTATACCCACAGTCATTTGGCCTTGTTAGGGTTGGACATAAGTCTGCTCCTTCCTGTCCAGACCCTGACAGCTTTCAGGCATTGGAATAAGAATTTGCATTTCTTGATCAGCCTTGATTTGGGAAAAAATGTCTGAGTATAATTGGCATACTGATGATGCCTCTAAACCAATGGGTGACTTTGTTCAGCAGTATCATGTAGGTTAAACATGAGAGATGAGAACATTGAGTCCTGTGGTATTCCATGAATACATTAAATGGCTTTCAATTCTATCATTTCCCTCCTATGAGTACGGACTGGAACCAATATGGAGAAAGGAGAACCACCACAATATTTGCAATAAGTATAACCTCCACATTATGTTCCAACCTAAAACGAACAGAAAAAGGTCAATCCATTTCTTCTAGGGTTCTCTGAGTTACAAATTGACTACGCTCTTTTCAAACTTTGTCAGAAAGAAGCCTGGACAAAATTTGTCAAAAGCCATTGGATTCAATGTGTGCTTCTTGAAGTTATATATTACACCATCTTTAAAAGAAGCTGTAGCTATATGATGGACCCAACCACTTCTCTTCTGGGAGGCTTTCACTGATCCAGGACATGGATCTAACCAACAGGTTAGATGTTAACAGTCTTGAAGATCTTGCCAATTCCTCAGGAACACACAGTTAAACTGTTCTCAGCTAGTGAAGCAAGACTATTATTCTGTCATCTCAACTAGATCTGCCCAATCTAACAGTGGGTGTATTTGAGAAATTTAACCCACCAAGTGCCTAGGATATTCTTTTCTGAGAACTGATCAGACATTTCTTAATGAATGCCAAGTAGGGCTAATCATATCTTGAATTGCCTAGTGGCTTACTAGCAACCAATTTAGTTTACATAACGTAACTCACCAGGTACCTAGGATATTGTTCACAGAAATCCACAAGATAGTCCTATGACCCATCCCTCCACACTAACGAATGAGTCATTCTAAAAATACAGCTGGTTGGATATCCATGAGTACAGTAAGAATGGAAAAATAGGTTTTTCTGGACTTGTCACCACAATGAAATCCCTAATGTAGGCATACCCTTGTCCCCTGCTCATCCCAGGCCAAAACTAAGGCTCAGTTGAACGGGCCACCAGATCCTCAAGGGGGGGGGGCATGGGTTTCATATGGAACCAAATAGTCCATACACTGCAGAGCATCCTATCTCCCTTCCAAAAAATACAGTTGATGGTAAATGGGTTGAGTAAACAATTGTTTGGTTAACTATGCTTAAGTGAAGTGTGAGGGCAAATTTAATTTTTTCTACAATCCAATAAAATGGAAAAATGTTCACTACTAGATGTACACAACATGGACTGAAAACTTCAATTCGCTTTTATGTTTTAATAAATGAAACCTGACTCAAGATTGCAAAATCAAAAAAGCATGTAGGAAGAAGGCAACTGAAACTTTTTCCATGATGTTGTGGAAGAATATAATGTGGCCTTATTGCTGCAGTCCCAACTCTTCCATGTTACGTTTCACCAAGGGCACTCACTAGAAAATGGATTGATTTTAATTTTACTAATTTACTAAATGAATAAAAAAGACAGGAAAACAGATTTTTTTTAAAAAAAAAAACTGGGTATGGATAAGAAGGGTACATCTACGTTCTTTGCTTTTTCAAAATAAAAAGAAAGCAGAACTTCCAGATTGATTTCAATTCTATGTTCTGCTCAGTCTCAGTAACAATATTTATTAAATTCGCCCATCTCACGCAGGACGTTCTCTCCAGATCATTTTCCTGGGACAGGCATCGGGGACGCGTCACGCAGAGATCTCTAGCAGAGCCCAGGAATCTCTCTGTGCAGTTGTGCCTTTCTGCTGGTCTTCGGCCCAGAGAGCTCATGCGTGGTCGCTCTGCTCGGGTGCTGCTGGCCCTTTAAGCCGCGGGGAGGAGAAGCGTTGCGAGCGAATGGCGCTCGGGTCCGCTTGCGGCTCGCATCTTTCTCTTCTCCATGGTAAGAGGCGCGGCATTTCTCCCCTTCCCCCCTCCATCTTTTTATGGGCAGCTGGGTCTAAAGTTTAGCCTACAATAAAAACAACTGAGGGTCTTTGGGGATGCCAGGTGGAAAGTCTGTCTGCTCAGCCGCCCTCTGCCCGCTGCTGCCTTTCCGTCTCCCGGCGACGGTGGCTGAAAAAGTGGCGGAGACCTAAAAGAAAAAGGCGGAAAGTTGTTTCTCGATCGCTTTTCCCGACACTGGCTAGGATCGCCAAAACTTTCCTCGTCCCGTCGGCCTGGGCCTCGGCTCTCATTCATCCCCTCCCTTCTGAGTGTGGAGCATTACAAACGGAAGAAAACGGCATATATTTTAAAACGGGCAGATTTTCTGTCATCTATCAGATGGGGAATGGGAAGAATTCCTGGTGCCTTTCTTGCCCTGCCAGAGATGCCTGGGTTTTGCCAAGGTGTAGTTGTCAGCTACTCTTAATGTAAGAGCTATGATTATTTTGAACCTAAAGGTTTTGAAAGCTTAACTAGTAATTGAAAAAACTGTCTTGGCTTTGGGATGTAAAACTATTGTTTGTTTGTAGATATGCCCACACCCTTTTAGCTTTGGAATTGTCTAAAATAACAGGAAATCTAGAACTAAAACATATTTCTCCAGGTGGATATTTCACCTATTAAACTGATATCATAAATTATTAAGACCTTTCCATATGTACCAAAAATAAAATTGAAGATAAACAATTAAAATACAGCACTTAGTGCTTGTTGATTATATACAAGAATAATAAAATGCATTGAACTGGAGGAGAAAAATCCATTCAATGCTCTAATCTACGCAGAATGGGATACTTATTCTTTGATCGTCACATTTTATTTAGGACTTGTAGATTTTTACCTTTGCCTTGTTAAAATACCAATTGTATTCCTTCTTCACCAGGCCCTTCATGAAGCAGATCATGGCCTCATCAGCCAAATATTGGTGGATTCAGAAGAGAATCTTAGTGTTTGCACAGAGAAAATGCAGCCCACATCTCCATACAACTGGAACGCAGATTGGAGCTCCTGGGTATAAATTCAGATTACACCCCCTCTCCCCCCCCCCATTATAGAGAAGTGTTTTCTTATTCAAGAATGTGTGTTTATTACGCTGTTTCATTAAGTCAATCTTATTCTCTGCCTTGGAGAAAATGTATACTTAATAATATTTAATGTATTAGTATGTCTCTTTGTTGAGTAATTGAGGAATGACTTCACTGTTATATTTTATACCATGTCACTGTTTCAATTGGCTATTCTAGAGAGATTGGAGACGGTGTTGTTTTCTTACTAACTTGACCTTAGTTGTTTTATATTGCACTTGAATGTGGCTTTTTTAATTTTAGATATTTTTATCCCACCTTCAGTATTTTCTCCACAATAACAACCCTGTGAGAAGAGTTGGGCTGAGAGAGAATGACTTCCCCAGTCATCCAGGCAGTTTTGATATCAAAGGCAGAACTAGAACTCATAGCCTCCCAGTTTCTATCCTGGTGCCTTAATCACTATACCAAACTGACTCTTTCTTAATCTTGTGACTGTTGGCCACATGTTGGGCTGCATGTTTTAGCATACTAGAAATTTGAATTAATTTCTGAATAGGTATTCTTACATTCTGGATCACAGGAATTTATGGACAATTGTAGCGTTTGTACCAGAAATAAATCAAAGATACCCATTAATTCTGAGGTTATAATCTTAAACGTACTATGATACACTCATTGCAAGAGATAAATTTATAATTATACTTTAATTGCTTTAATGATTGGAAGCTAGTTATTTGTATTTTTTTTCTTACCTTGTATTAGCATCTATTTAGTTTTTATATTTTTAGATTTAGATACCATAAATAAAATGATCCACTCCCCTGAACTTGAGATTTAATTTTGAAATACCTATAATCATAGTAAGGAGAATCACATTACTAAGTTGTCTGCTATTTGATATTGAGAGTCATTTCTATATTAGTTATCATGGTCAGGTGAGCCCTGAGTACACAGTGTAGCCAACTGGTACAGAGACTTCAGAACAAAATGTCTCTGCCAGTGAAATACAAGTAAACCTCCACTGAAAAGGAGGTTTAAGAAGGTATCGTTCCAAGATTTTTGGAGATTATTTAAACTAAAACAAAATTTCACAGCATACTTAAAAACCCTGAATGGTTACTTAGTAATTAATAGAAGGCACCAAGGGATCTTAAAAAACTAAGGTAACTTTAATTTGTGGCCAAATGAGAAAAAGCTAAGCACTCTCAAAGCCATATGGAGACAAGGATTATATTGCAAGAAATGTTAAATTGAAGAACAAAATAGGAGTTAGCAGGATGTGGATCCCGGGATCTCTTTGGGCTCTAAGAACACCCTTGAACTGAATGGTGCTTACTTTTTTTAGGGTTTTTTATGTTAGAAAGAAAAGATTTTAAGGGGCAAAGTGGCTGCCTTAAGCCTATGCAATGCTTAAAATGTATATTTGGTTCCTCAAACCCTTTCAAAATTATACTGATTTTTTTTCATCATGGCAGAATTGAAGAACCAAATCAACAATATACATCTCAGCAAGGGTTAAGACCTCCTCTTTGTTAAAAAGACCAGCCCTTAAAAGGCAGCAAATTTGATCCTCCCCACTTTTACAGTCTCATGGCATTTGCTATTTCATCTTTAGCTTTTGGGGGGCTAAAACTTTGAAATGCAATTCCGCATCTACAAAAATAGAAATAGACCTCTAAATATTTTTCAAGTAGCAAACAAACTGAGGAAATAATTGGAATCAAGGAAACAAATGTTTTAAGGAACTGCTAAAGTAATAGATAGATATTTCTAGAAGAAGTAGGCATATTTGGGATAATCTCCACTGTAAAAGAATTGGATAGATATCTTTATCTGAATATTTTGGTAAGGAGAGGCATTTGAGAAGTTAAGAGAAATCTATTTGTCAAGAAATGAAATTCCAAGAATGGCAGTTTCAAATTTAACAAAACATGAATAGACTATACTTGCATGTTTGGAAGGAGACAAGAAATTACAAATTTCATGGTGAACCATCTTGTTTCAGACAAATAGCTGGCAAGCATTATAAGTGGCAGAATAAGCCTTTCTTAGCTGATCCTTCGCATGTACATAAGCAGGGTCAGATAGGTTTGCAGATAGTCCTTGTTTAGCAGCTACCTCATATAACAACCATTTGCAGTTATAATAGTGATAAAAAAGTAATTTATAATCAATCCTTCTTTTTATGAACTTCACAGGTTTGTAAAGCAAAGAAAAGCCAAAGTAAGAGTTGATGGACTGAATGCAACTAAGCAGTTAGTAAGAAATAAAATAGAAATATCTAAACTTGACCAGAAAGATCTAAGCCCTAAAAAAGAAATGTTATGTCTAGGGGGAAATGGGGGCAATACTGCTACACTTCCTTTCCATAACAATTATCTTATATCACAGAATGCAACAATCTTTTACAGTTATTTAATATGCTAACAAGCACTGAGTAGAAGTGACTCAATAGGTTTCATATACTTTAGCATTTATAAATCTGTTGACAAAAATCTTTTACTGAAAGCTTATCAAACTTGGGATTTGAAACTTCTTATAAGCTACTATTATTACAGAATAGGCTATATTCTGTATGATTAACAGGCAGTAGTTAATCTCTTAGCCCTGATATTCATATTTTTACATTTTGTAATTAATATAAATGTCAGGTTTACTTTGAAATGTAAGTTCCAAATGATTTCTATTTGCAAGATGACAAGAATCTCTCAAGTTTAAAATATGTATTTTTTTGTAAACCATGCAATACCCAGGATCTGTTTGTGCTAACAATACAAACATCGAACTGCTCCAAGAATAGAAACATTATCTGAGCTATCTGTTGATTAGAGTTTTGAATTATTAATCATACTCTGGGCATGGGAAATCTGAGTCAGTAGTTATGTGTTGTAGTTATCCGAGCTGATGAAGTGAATCAGCTGCAATTTGGGATTTAGTCCCATGCTTGTTTCTCAGTATCCCACAGTTGCTCTTGGGCTGGAATTAGATGACTAACAGTAAGAGCTATTTTACTGCCTGAATTCAAGCTACAGGTAAGCATACCTTCGGGTATGGGAGCACTGTTGGGCTTCTGAGATAATGATGCTAGAGAATTAATAAAAATGCCCATTTATGGAAGCTCTTCATCTTTAGTCATTTTTTTTCTGTCAGGTCAGGTGGGCATTTTAATTAAGCTATGTTGGACTAACCTGTACAAATAAGACCACCAGTATTCTTTAAAAAACAACAACAATCTCCTAGTTGGGATTGCAATGTAGTGGTCATGGGCCTAGGATTTGTTGGAGTAGTATTTCTCAACCCCAGCAGTTATATATATATGTACAATTCTCAGAGTTAGTGGTTGGCTGGATGAATTCTGGGAATTGAAGTCCACACATCTTAGAATTGCTAAGGTTAAGGAACACTGGTTTGGAGATACTGTACATCCCCAGTGTTAACCAATCTCCCTGCCCAGCAATGTTATTTTTAAAAGATTTTTTAAAAGATTACATTGGAAGCTGGCGTGCTACAATATATTAGTCTCAAATATTACTTTTCTGTTGCTAAAATGCTATGAGATCCACTTGATGGGATACATCAGCTCAATTTGAAAATAAAAATGGTCGTAACACATGCTTTGTCCAGAAAATAGAGGTAAGCAAGAGTGGTAGAATACACATATCACAGAGGAGACAGTTTTTAATAGTAAATATTTTGTAACTAGTCATCTGCTCTGGGGTAGCCATTTTGTGAGATACCCCTGACAAGTTTTCAAAATTTTGAATGTATTTACTCAGAAAAACTGCCTGCATCTTTTGAAGTCAACTTGAATTTTAGAATGAATAATAAGACATTTGTTTAATTTTGCATGTTTGCCAATGGTGATTCTTGAATGGAATACTAGGAAGACATTCTGCAGGGAACATTGTTTTCAGCTATCTAATATAACTGTATGGAAAGGAAGAACAAGATTTGTTAATTAAGTCCTAGTGGTAGGCCAGACTGTCTTTAAAGGTTTCCATAAAACTCTAATTGCTCCCTTGGAGGCTTACTGTGATTTAGTCCATTAGAAATTAGAAAGAGATGATGCTGCCAACCTACTAACAGATATGGATTTTCAAAAGAGAGTTTTGAAATAGTCATGAGAAATAAGTGATAAGCCAACTGTCCTCTGCTTGGTGTGTATATATATGTGTGTGTTTATATTTCTGAGCCTACTTAGAGAGTTTTGTCTAAAACTATAAATGGCTTTTTAAAGTGCCTTGTTGATGAGGCTAAATTTATGATATATCATTATTCTTGATTATCTAAAATATAAAAGAGACATTTGATAATTTAATTATTAAAAGCCAAATAGCTTTTTATAATTAACTTATTCTTCTAAGTATTTAACTTGTCCATGTTATCATCAGTACCATGAAACAAGAATGCAAAATTCTAGTCTCCATATAAGTCACTAAACACATTTCTGTGTTGATTATCTCCCATCTCCCTTGCCCCACCCCTCTGTTGATGCAAAGAGATGTCGAGGGATAATCAGGAATGATTTCTCTTCTATTTCCTTTCTTGCCTGACAACGTGACTGATGATTAGACTGGTCATAAAATAATAGGTTGAAGGAAATGAGCTAGCATGACTTGATCAGGTGCTAATATTCCTCATTTAAAATACCGTATTAACTTTTAAAAGTCTACTTGTAGCAAACAGTTAATGTATTTCATCTTACGTGATGTTAATTAGATGCTTCTGTAACATTTGCCAGGTGAATAAGTGACTACTGCATGTTCTTACACTTGATTCATAACAAACCTATGAATGTTAATCTCTGACTGCATATTCTCAAACATAAAAAAGCAGTCAGTTCCTAATGCTATAAACAGTATGTTGCTTTATGGCAAGCCCAGCTGTTCCTTAAAGTAATTCTGGTCAATCAGTGAAAAACAAACAAAAAAGAACAATATATTCCCAACTCTTATGGGTACTTAGCATGCCTCTTGAACACTGA